TAAATTCAGGCTGGGTACACACTTCCATCTCTAAATTACTGTCAGTAAAATGTTCACCCATTTTCCAATTTTTATTTACACGTTTTAGCCAAAACGTTTATATAAGGTTCTTTCGTTCGCTGTTGATGAAGTGTCCACTAGTGTAAATTACACCAGTTACACCACCTTATTTACCTAGTTTACTTCCCTCCTTATTCCTTATACACATGTCGAGTGTAATTCACTCTTGCTAAATAGCTGGTAGAGGAAGTATCCACCTGTGGACACCACAACGCCGATCGAAAGGTTAGTGGATTTTACACCGGGTCAAACGAAAGATATGTTCGCTGTTGTTGCAGTGTCCACCAGTGTAAATTACACCAGTTACACTACCTTTATTTTCCTAGTTTACTTTCTTCCCAGACAACACACCAAATCCCAGAGATATCCACAGAATATCTTTTGTGGATATCCAATATATCCACAGGATATCAAAAATATTCCGTGGATCTAATATGGATATCCAAATGTCCGTCTATATCCAGGATATAGAAGATATCCTAATGGATATTCAGCAAAATATCTAATGGGTATCTTCCAGAAAATAGAAGAAATCACAGAAATATCCACAGAATATATTTTGTGGATATTCAATATATCCAATATGGATATCCAACCAAATGTCCGTCTATATCCCAGGATATAGAAGATATACGGATATTCAGCAAAATATTTTATGGGTATCTTTAGTAGAGGTTCATAAGTAACCAGTGATTATTGAATAACGTCGAAAGAAAATAGCAGAGATAAAAAATATTTTCAACACTCAAAATATTTTCAACACTCTGCCTTTGATTTTGCCCACTAAAGAGAAAGTCATCCTTATTAGGACTCTTCAGCAATAAATGAAAATTCTCGACTCCAGTCTCTAATGGAGTGATTAGGACACATATTTCGATCGAACTCAATTACGGCGGGTCGAGCATGAGTAGATGCGATAGTGGTATCGCCATCTATACTTAGTAAGCAGAATCAAATAACATCTAATGGATAACCACGATGGTTTGCGTTCGCGCCTAGACTTTGATATATTTAGTGGGATGTTCATGGGATATTGAATACACCTTAAAAAAATTCATTTTAAATATCTGAACGGTACTATTAGCCACAATGGCGTAATTTTTTAATAATTTGCTATATAATTACTATTATTTATGGACATTTGCATGTCTATAAATTACATTTCATGGATATAAAATAGATTTCTACCATGGACTGGACATTCAGTGGATATTGGGATGTTCAGTAGATATCCAAAGGATTTGGTGTGCTGTCTGGGTTCTTATTCCTGATACACATGTCGAGTGTAATTCACTCCTGCTAAATAGCTGGTGGAGAAAATATCCACCAGTAGATACCACATCGCCGACTGTAGCGCCCTGGAAGCACTACATACTAACTCCAACTCATAATATATTGATACATGTCACCCATGCCACACATATCAATATTACCTATTAAGGCAGCTTAGTGGGAGGCAGGATTTAAGTGCACCCTATCTATCTACTTGACGACCTCGGTTGCCAAGCATTAATATTTATTAGAAAAAAAAAAAAAGAAATGTCATATATATATAATTTTCTGTCATGACGGAATTGTCTATTTCATTATATTAATATATACCCTTTTACAAACCACTATATTATTACAAGATGGGATCCCCAAAGTTAATAGATCCCATAATTGGTGACCCCGATAGAATCCGTACCTATGATTCCACACCGCTTAATTAACAGCGGAAGCAGCTGAAGGAGTAGCAGCTAACAGCAGTATCAGAGAACACCAGCAGCATCAGGATCAGCAGGACTAACAAAATCAAAATTTTTAAACCTTAATTTACACATCCGATGTACAGGGTGAGTTTAATCTCCTTTCACTAACTGCCACACAATGAATAAAGTCATTAGAATTAGCATTCAATTCAAAAACATTTTCAAAACCAAACTATTAATCATTATTAAACAACACGAAAGCAAGAATATCAAAAATTAAAATAAATTAACATATACAGGGTGTTAAAAAAAGTGTCACAAAATAAAACGGGGGTCACCATTTCATTTTGTGACACTTTTTTTTAACACCCTGTATATTGATCGTCCATGTATTTATATACAATTTACAATTATCACTTAGTAATTTCCTACATGAGTATATTCATTGACTCAAATAACAATTACTCTGTTAAAAAAGAATGGTCAAACGTGTATCAAAAGAGCCTTAACATAGCGAAGCAATCGCTTATTAAAGCCTCTTTAATTGATTAAGCAGAATCTAATAAACTACATATGGTCTACAGACACCATCATAGTTTTGGATTCAATCAATATTTTACATTTGACCCATTAATTTATTCATTTTCCAATTGGTCATTTTCTATATACATAATAAAATTAAATATATATTATTTATTAAAAATACTTTACTACAACCAACTATATTATTATATTTTGACGATCAACCAATTCAAACATAATTAAAACAAATTAAAAAACTTGTTAAATGAATTTTTAAAAAAGGGGGAAGTATTGTAGCGCCTTGGAAGCACTACATACTAACTCCAACTCATAATATATTGATACATGTCACACCCATGCCACACATCAATATTACCTATTAAAGCAGCTTAGTGGGAGGCAGGATTTAAGTGCACCCTATTTATCTACTTGACGACCTCGGTTGCCAAGCATTAATATTTATTAAAAAAAAAATGTCATTATATAATTTTCTGTCATGACGGAATTGTCTATTTTTATTATATTAATATATACCCTTTTACAAACCGCTATATTATTTATAACATGGGATCCCAAAGTTAAAATATCCCATAATTGGTGACCCCGATAGAATCCGTAAAGATAAAAGATCCCATAAAGGTATAGTAGATTTTACACCGAGCCAAACGGAAGGTTTGGTATATCTAAGGATTGCGACAAACGATGTATTCTATCTACTATACGTAAAATCATGAATAATGGATTAAATATTTTATGTCAAACACAAAAAAAATAATATTTAAAAAACCTGCCTATACATTTCTTCATAAATTGGTAGGCCTGGCGACCACTATTTCGAATATCGGTGTATCGGTTCATGAGCTATGCGTTACACACACACGCACGCACGCACGCACGCACGCACGCACGCACGCACGCACGCACGCACGCACGCACGCACGCACGCACGCACGCACGCACGCACGCACGCACGCACGCACGCACGCACGCACGCACGCACGCACGCACGCACGCACGCACGCACGCACGCACGCACGCACGCACGCACGCACGCACGCACGCACGCACCCACGCACGCACGCACCCACGCACCCACACACACACACACACACACACACACACACACACACACACACACACACACACACACACACACACACACACACACACACACACACACACACACACACACACACACACACACACACACACACACACACACACACACACACACACACACACACACACACACACACACACACACACACACACACACACACACACACACACACACACACACACACACACACACACACACACACACACACACACACACACACACACACACACACACACACACACACACACACACACACACACACACACACACACACACACACACACACACACACACACACACACACACACACACACACACACACACACACACACACACACACACACACACACACACACACACACACACACACACACACACACACACACACACACACACACACACACACACACACACACACACACACACACACACACACACACACACACACACACACACACACACACACACACACACACACACACACACACACACACACACACACACACACACACACACACACACACACACACACACACACACACACACACACACACACACACACACACACACACACACACACACACACACACACACACACACACACACACACACACACACACACACACACACACACACACACACACACACACACACACACACACACACACACACACACACACACACACACACACACACACACACACACACACACACACACACACACACACACACACACACACACACACAGGAAAGTAAAAATCATAAAACTGAACTCTGACGTCAGGATCATCATTACCTTCTCACACCCTTACTTATGACGACTCCAGCACGCTGCAGGGTGCTGCGTAACAATATTTTCATTGTGTTTGACATTAAAGATTTAAATATAATCCATTATTTATGATTTCACGTTTTGTAGATTGACTACATCGAATGTCCCTTTAGACATACCAAACCTTAGCCATGCGCTACATTTGTTTAGAATGCCTAATACTAGACTAATTTGAATTAAAAAAATCGAATTGCAAAACATTTACGGTGTTGTCAAATTATTATGAAAGAGTATGGGATAGTCTTGTTACAAGAATTGTTTATGGTTATAATTCGGTATTGATTTAACATAAGGCTCTGAAGCGCACAAAAGGCTTACAAAATTACATTAGAGAAGTATGTGCAAGTTATTATCAGTTTAATATAGTTTTTCTCATTGCAGCTATTATAGTTGTATAGTGTTTATCAGGAAAGAACGTAATTCATTTTGAAGCGTGACAGCAGTGTAAAGCAAGCGTCATATTCATAAAACGCATGCTCGCTACTCAGATGAACAAACTCGCACAAACCATCTCCACTCAAATTAGCAGCCGTCTCCTTCTTTCTAAAGCGACAATTATGTCTGGGTAAAATAGTCTAGTAGTTTCTTGTCGTTGGATTGGGCAATGACTATTACCAGAATCTAATCAAAACAAATATAAATATATCACTGTTAATATATTAGTAATTAAAAAAAAATCTTCCATCGGATTATAATTTATAAATCCCCTATTGTCATTAATGTTAAGATAATTGAAATTTGTTTGTCTACAATAATTGAATCTATTCATTTCCAGGAGTCTATGTGGGAATATCAGCATTCGGTAACGTCCATGCTTATCAAACACTAGAAGATACAGATGGATATACGAATATCGGCTTATCTCTAGCCCTTGCAGCCAACAGAATATCCTATTGTTTCGATTTCAAAGGACCGAGCTACTCCATAGATACGGCTTGTTCCAGTAGTATGTTCGCTTTTGTGAACGCCATCAATGACATGAATGCAGGCAGAATTGACAGCGCAATGGTATAATTTATTTAATATTACACTGATTTTGATTGAAGATAATTTAAATGCGCACTATTGTGATTTGGTATAGTAGTAAAGATTTTAGATAAACAAAAAATATAGGTACCTAGACAATACACATAGTTCAATGGACGTCCATTTTAGATTCATTAGAGGATCAGTACATCCAAATGGAGGGACTGCTTTATAAAATACCTCCGAGAATGTTCAAAATTTAATATATATGCGTGGCGTGGTAGTTTTGCTGGACATCCAGACGTCTCAAACATGCAAAGAACTCTAGTAGCAGTCTGCAGCGTGGACGCTAGATAAATGAGTAACCCCAAGTTGGGTATGCACTACACAACACAAAAAACTACATTATTCACGCATCTACTTGGAGTGACCGTTAATTAACAGTTTCTACACGAAAAATCCATTTGGATGCCGTCCAAACGGATTCATTCCACTTGGAGTGATTTAAATGGGGGCCTCAACCGTTTTGGACATACGTTTGAGTTTAGTTCACGTTTAGTAGTCTTTTGACGTCCACTCTTTAGTCATTATTTATTTAGCCAACTAGATAATACCTATACACACATTCTTTTTTTCCAAAATATAATTCGTCATTAAAAATTGAAAATGTAGTGATGTTAACAGCTCTAACCTTTGAACCATCCTTATTTAAATATAAATGGACGTCCAATGGAGACAGGTATCTGTGTTATGTATATTAGGTGAACCATAATAAATTGAAATATTACCATAGGTGTGCGGTACACATCTCATTACCCATTACCACGAAACTCTGGAATTCAATCGACTTAATATGCTGTCTCCCGATGGCAAATGCAAAGTATTTTCCACTGAAAGAAATGGATATGCGCGTGCAGAAGCCGCAATCGCGTATTTTCTGCAAAGGAAGGGCAACAGTCGAAGAATTTACGCAACCGTTCTTGGTGCCGCCTCCAACACGGATGGGTTTAAGAAGGAGGGCATTACTTTTCCATCAGCTGAAGATCAGTATGATTTGATGTACAATCTGTGTAAGAAAGTGAACGTTAATCCTCATGACGTTACTTATATGGAAGCCCACGGGACTGGTGAGTAAAAAAACGTTCTTGTTTTCATTTACTTTTGTTCAGCTAGATTGGTAAATATTTTTTGTCCAGCAACTGCAACGCTGCTTTATTAAGTTGGAGTTGGAGTTGACCCTCATGACCCTCACAGAACTAAGATGCATCAACGAAAATTCTAAGGTCAGGTGTCATTTTGTCTATTATTACTATCTTGTAGTGTATCCAGTTTTTCTAGTATTTTTGTTGAATTATTCCTTTTGATTCATTATTTTTAAGTTATAGGACCGGTACTGCTCCCTACTGTCGGTTGTATTTCATTAATTGCTACTCGAGCATAAGGTATACCAGCCTCCATTAATGTTTAATGCCTTCTTACAGTTTTCCTAGATTTTTTTTTTCGGTTCACTCGATTAAGCGTGTCTTTTGGATTTGTAGTTTTATTTCTTAAGCTCTGCAGAGCTTTTACAGTGGTGTAATTTCTATAATTAGCTAGGTACTTCTCTCCACACTTAGGTGCTGTACTTAATAGTTTTTACAATCTTGGATTGATTGTTTTCCAGCGCATTTATCACATCTGGGTTTTTTGCAGTGGTTTTGAGTATGCCTATAGGCTTGGCCTCGTTTTCATTAAGGTATATTTCTTGTATCTGTAGCGTGTAAATGGAGGGTTAACCCACTGCACTTAGATCTCACTTAGCCCATTGTGGTGGTTTATTTTCTTTGTCCCATAATTTTTTTTTAATCTTCATCTCTGTTAAAGGATATAGTGAAGAGTGGGAGCAGTCTTTTATGTTTTCTGCTCAGCAACTGACTTACTTCAAGTATTTTAAAAGCTTTGTTTTTTAGGTCCACTTTGATTTGCACTGTTTGACAAGACTGGTGCAATTTTCTCACAACTATCTTGATTGGTATTGACTGTTTATTTTCAAATGAAAACCATTCTGTTTTAGTATTATTCAGCGCTTGTGTAAATATCTATATTCATCCTCTACATTGATTTTCAAATTACTTCCATTTACCGTGGTGGCTTGATACTGTATTTCGTTTTGTATTAAGGTATTTATCATTCTGATCAACTCTGTTTCAGTTCTTCTTCATCTATGTAGTAGTCTGTAGATATTACAAGGTTTCTGTCGATAGATCTAGGTCTTTAGTGAAAGAACTTGTTTTAATTCAATATTTACTGTTACAAATATAATTGTTTACAGGTACTACTATTGGAGACATACAAGAAACTCAAGCCATTACTAATGTATTTTGCAAAAACAGAAAAACGCCTCTTCTGGTTGGCGCCGTCAAATCAAACATGGGACACGCTGAAGTGTCTTCTGGATTGTGTTCCATGACGAAAGTGTTAGTAGCTATGGAATCTGGGATCATTCCGGCTAATTTGCATTTAGAAAAGTTAGATAAAACGCTACCTGGGTTATGTGATGATAAAATCAAAGTAAGTATACTCACATACCTAATTATTTTTTACAGGGTGAATAAAATTTAATCAAACCACTGAGAGAAATTATAAAAGTTTATTTTAAAAAAAGTTTAAAAAATAAGAGATAGAATAAAGTAGACACGACATAAAGACTATTTTGCGATATGACAAATGGACACACTTCGAATGATGGAAAAGTGTAATCAAAATGGCGACGTAAAATCGTACTGTGAATCTGTGATTAATTTGAAGTCAATAATTTTATATTTCAAGATCCACGGCATGAGAATAATTTTAAACTAGGCTGTTTTTAAAAAATGGCATTTATTCTTTCACTTTTAGAATCGTCATAGCATCTCTTCATTATTCCATCTCAATGGGTGCATTCCTACTTAAGATAGGAAACATGTCGCTCAATCGATTGTTTTCGATTAATCGATTATTTTCCATTAATCAGTTATTTTCAAATAATCAATTATTCAGAAAATCTATTATTTTCGATTAATCGATATATTGATAATATTTTATTAATTTTTAATCTTATAATTCGATTTTTATTAATAATAAATGTAATTCAACGATTGTTTTATAATATCGAATTATCGACCATATTTATTTGAAATGCAAAAACTTTTATCAAGAACATAGGCGTATATTTTTTTTATTAAAAATTAGTTTTTTGTCTTTTACTTTTTAATAATAAAGGCATAAATTATTGTATTTTTGTATTCTCTCTACAAGTCCATCTTTAATTGACTGAACAAATCTTTTTTGTAGGTACTTTTTAAAATCGATTAATGACAATCGAATAAATTAATTATTATTAAAAATCGAAAATATTCGATTAATCGAAAAAATTGGCCATCTAAAAAATCGATTAATTTAAATAAAACGAACAATCGATAAATTTTATAAAACGATTATTCGGTTAAACCATAAATCGATTATCGTGTTTTCTTTAAATCGAATAATCAATTAATAGATTATTTTGCCCGCCCCGAGTTGATACATCCATTTTAATTATTTTTATCAGATAGTCACCGAAAATACCAAATGGTCTGATGGGGTCATGGGCGTGAACTCGTTCGGCTTTGGAGGCGCCAACGCTCACGTCATTTTGAAACCGCACACCAAAGAAAAAACGAGCAACTATCGAAGACCAAAACACCGGCTGGTAAATGTTTCCGGTAGAACGGAAGAGGCTGTCATTCACTTTCTTGACGAAGTATCCGCTAACCAAGACGATCCAGATTTCTTAGCGTTGGTGGACGAAATACACAAGTCGAACGTCAAAGGTCACATGTATAGGGGGTTCGTATCTTTTTGTTTAGAGATGGATAATAATATTAAAACGTTTGTTGTCCAATAGAAGAATCCAATTTAATTAACAATAAAAATATATAACTATATGTAAAAATGAAAACAATAGTGCCATTAGTGTTCGAAGGACCAAAATGTTTGAATGACTACGTTTGTAAGATTTAAATTTAGGAACATGAATATCAAATATACGGTGAAAAATATTATATAAAGAAGTTACTGCTTCATCCACATTAACGGTATTCTTTAAAAATGGCCAGTCCAAATAAAATAATTCATTATATAAGGCGATAAAGTTAGTACTTCTCAAGTTATAATGTTTATCACTGATTTTACGAGAATTAGTTTTTTCAAAGTTCTGAGATTCAAGAATATCAATCACAATTGCTGGATGATACATCTTCACTTATTAAGGGACAGTCGTCATGCAAGATCTAGCAATTTAAGTTAGTTATGATTAAATCTAACAACCTCGACACATTATTTTTATTTAAACTATTCACGGAATTAGTCGGTACAGCTAATTTTATCGTCATTTGTAGGAGACTGTATCTCGAAAACGCCTTCGATTTTTAAAAATGAAAAAATATTTGAATGTTTATTATTTCTTGAAGTGATATTCAGTTAAAAGTAATTTTTCAGTGTTGTAAAAGAATACAATGTAAAAATGTAAATTTTTAACTGCCTGTACCTGTTGCAATAGTAATTTCAGAAATGTCATCGTAATCACAGTTAGAGGTTTTGGTCGATATCTCGGGACGTATTTGACAGTTTTGTATTTTTTTTGTTTAGAAAAAAAGTTACAGAGTATTTTTAAAAGTCTGCATTTTTTAAAATTACAATTTCAATTTAAATAAGTTTATTTTACTTCAATAGAACGGCATGGAACACAAATTTTGAAAACGCTAACTTAACATATCCTTAGCATATGGGATACTAATAATTTAGTATCGAGTAGGCCCACCTCGTACTCGCAAAAGGTCTGCTGTGTTTCTCGTTATACTGTCTACCAAGTTTGTAATAAATTCTTGAGGAATAGCTTCCCAGACCTCTTTAACTACAATTGCCAATTCTTCCAAATTTTGTAATTATTGCTCTCTTTTATTAGTTTTATTTTCATTCTGCTCTACACGTGTTCAATTACATTCATATCCGGCGACCTAGCAGGCCATTTCATTTGCTTGATACCATTCTCTCTCAGATTTCTTGGACAATTATAAAACATTATTGTCCACCAGAATAAAATCTTCGCCAAAGTTCTATAGAGTTTTTACTTTAGAAAGAAAGACAATTTTAACTTTCAAGTAAATTTTATTTAAAGTACACGTGAGTCCTTCTCCAGAAGATTTTGTTTAATATAAATCTATACAAAGAAGACCCTTATACCTATCAAATTAAAAACATTACAAATAAAACCGCAAAAATCAAAATATAAGTTCGAAACACGAAAAACACAACAAAAACACCGGTGCGTTTGAAACGCAATGTTAGAAAGTAAAAAAAAATACAACTAGCCTTGTTTTACTTACTGATAGTCCCACGTTGGTACGTATATAAGTATCCGGTGGAGATGATGGTGGATTCAGGTCCAGGTCGCCGCTCAGGCCGCCTAAACTAATTAAGAAAGATTGTCGTTTGAAAACAACCACGTTGATCATCAACTTTTTACAAAATGGGTCAAATGGCAGTCGCGTGACCTTATCCTTTCACACTCTCAGCACAAGTACCGTGTGCATCGGCCGGCTAATCCAGTTACGCAATCGCACTTCACCCCCCATTGTCTAAAAACCATTTAAAACGATTCGCTAACGAACTCTTGCGGTACGAGCCCATTGGCATGCACTTTACAGTTCTGAGCAAAGGGAATGACAATCTCATTCCCATACAAATCACGATACCTAACGCCATTCATACTTTGTCCAATCGAAACTACCAAATCGGTTTTGCCATTCCTCATTACCCCACCCCATACAGTCACACTTCCTTCTCCAAACGGTACTCTAGCTTCCATATTTTCTTTAATGTGCCACTCATTCTTTTCTCTCCAAACTAACATTCGACCATCCGTTCTATACATTCATCAGTAAACATACAACATATACATTCTGCTATTCCCCAGTTCAAATGTGTTTGAGCCCATATCCTTCGAGAAACTCGGTGGACGAGCTAAAGAGAAGGATATGCAGCACGTCTTCTGGCATTTAAATTTCGCTCGTGCAAACGGTCTCTGATGGTAGTAGTCGACACTATCGTTCCCGTTATCCCTTGAGGTATCGCCTTTATTTGTGTCGCATTTAGAGTTCTTCTCCGTCTGACAGATAGGTTCTTTAGACGGTCTTCCCTGGGGGTCGTACATCTTTTGCGACCGCATTGTCGAATTTTTCTATGTACAGGAGTAACATGATTTTGGCTTCTTTTTATCGTCCTTCAAATTGTGGATCTTGATGTCCCCACCAAGTTAGCGATATGTTTTAAACTCAATCCTCGTTTGACATAAATTTTTTAATAAAGCCCTCTTAAATTGCATAATGGTTCGTAACTCATTTTCACTTTAGGATAAACTACGTAACGAAAAAGATTGCAAGGTTACAATTAATCAGAAAAACAATTATTACTGCCATTATTTTGAGGTTTGTTTCCATGGTTTTTGTTAAACTGCTTTTTCCCATTGCCTACTAAGCGAATAAAAGTTTTGAATGGATGGCAAATTTCACCAGATCGCAGCAATGAGAACTTAAATTAATGACTGACTTAATAGAGACATCAAGGTTCACATTTTGAAGGATAATTTGCAAGGAGCTAAAATCATGTCACTTCTAATAAAAGCTAAATAATAAGGTCCACAGGAGTTTCACATCAAATAAAAGAGCTCTTAGAGATTAATAATTTTTGTAATTTAAAAAAATGCTTACTTTTTGAAAATACCCTGTAACTTTTTTTCTAAACAAAAAAATACAAAACTGTCAAATACGTCCCGAGATATCGACCAAAACTTCTAAATGTGATTACGATGAAAGTTCTGAAATTACTATTGCAATAAGTGCAGGCAATTAAAAATTTACATTTTTACATTGTATTCTTTCACACCCTGTAAAACACTGAAAAATTACTTTTTACTGAAGATCACATCAAACCATTGATACAAGAAATAATGAACTTTCAAAATCTTCTTCATTTTTAAAAATCGTTTTCGAGATACAGTCTCCTACAAATGACGATAAAATTAGCTGTGCCGACTACTTCATTGATGTTCTGCTCACAATCACTTCATTATAAATATGACATTTTACAGCTACGCAGTCTTAGGAGAACGACCAGCAAAAGAAGTAGAGAGATACGTCGGCAGAAGACCGATTTGGTTCGTATACAGCGGGATGGGTTCCCAATGGACCAAAATGGGCAAGGATTTGTTGAACATCGAAGTGTTCAGGAAGACGATCGATCGTTGTGCCACCGCTTTGAAACCCTATAACATCGATTTGGTTAAAATAATTTGCAGCGAGGATCCAAAAATTTTCGACGACATTAATAATTGCTTTGTTGCCATCAGTTGCGTGGAGATCGCTTTGACTGATGTGCTTCATTCGTTAGGAATCGTTCCGGATGCCATAGTCGGACATTCTTTAGGAGAAGTTGGTAAGTAAGGATATTTCTTCTTCTCTATAGGAACAATAGGTCCAATTTTATGTGAATGATTTGGTTAAAATATGTACTGTTTACAGTATATGCAGATGAAAAATCATTTTTTATCTCTGACAAAAATGTTCTTATAGTAGAAACAAAAAACAACCAATCTTCAATGGTTCTGTATGAATTCTCTTTATCTAAATGCAGAAAGAACCTATTTAATAGAGAGTAGTTCTCCTGTTCTTTTTGAACATGGTATTCCTATAAAGGTTTTCTCATGTGCTTATTTTGGGACATTCTTCCAATAGTTGCTGTCTTTTTTCTAAACCCAGTCTTATATGGAATCTTGAACTGTACTTTTTGTTACTGCTTTCAGTATTTCTTTTGACCCTTGTTTTTGCAAGTTCGTTAACTCTTTCTTGGCATCGATCCCTTAATAACCTGGGGGAAGGGGCAAATAATGTGTATTACATTTTTTCAGTTGACAGCGCATTTTTATAGGGTTTCCTACCCTCTTCAACTGCACTGGAAGAATCAGGGACCGGGTTTGAAGGGATGGAGTGGAAGGAAAGTTAGTATATGTCTGAGAGGATATTATTGACCCAATATTGCGATATTGATATGAAAAAACCTCTGAAAAACTCATAACAGACCAGGTGGCAGTGAGACTCAGACCTTAGAAATGCGAGGCAGATGCGTTACCACAAAACCACCATACTCGGTACAATATAAATTGGCCCCCAAACTAGTTATACTCTATTTTGGTTTGAAAGTGTTGTTAGTTTTTCAAAGCAATTTCATACCAGCCTCGACGTCACTTTGTGACTTGTACTATTTAGTTATTCCCAGATAGCACAAATTCGTCTTAGAGACGTCTTTAAGATTCCTTGCATAAGACATATCAGACGTCTTTAAGACGTCTAGTATTTCGTGAAAGACGTCTTTAATGTTACAAAAGGGGACATCTTTAAGACATCTTTTTATTGGTCTGTACACGAAAAAAAAATCACTAACTGAACTCACGAACTTTTACTTACCGCAAAAAAGAGTTGTATACTATATGTAACAAGTAAAATGTTTACTTATCTTGTATAAAACGAGATTTCTGAAATTATTCACGTGTGGTTAGTAAACAGTATGATTAGTTTTTAAATGTACGGGTTTCACCCGGAGTGTCCGGGATTTGAACAATTTATCCGGTGCCCGGTCGCACGATGAAAATGTCCGGGAATAATATCTGGATAACTTTAGAAGACTTGTTTTTCAAAAGGATTTGGTTTATTAACAATACAGACTCATGACCTTTTTTGTAGAAGCTCGACAGCAGGAGCTGGTTTAAAAAGGCTTTTTTTAGAAATTTCACAAACAAATGTCCGGGTTTTGAGAAATGAAAAGGTGGCAATCCTAGTTGGTATTAATTAACTATGGCAATCGTATTTTTTTAAGTAAATAATTTATTTGGCACTGTTTTTTCTGTGTGTAGCGCATAAAATAAGCGATAAATAAGTCGTTTTAGAGACAAACAACTATTCATTTATTACCTGTAGAAAGTAATCCAGGAACGTGCTACATCGGTAATAGAAACTTCACTACTCTTCTTTCTCTGATTTTAGTCCCATATTTAAGTAAAAAGAGAATAAACACAAAGGCACAAAATAGTCCAAAAACACTTTTGGCGGCTATAATCGCGTACGCGATAAAATAATAAATAATTCACAATAAGTGAACTTAAATGTATTATTAAGTCAAACGTCAAACTTCACTTCATTTGATTCTTCTTTTTATATTTGAATTATGTAAACCGTGCAAGTTTCCGTCCGACTTTGAGACGTTCATAAGACAAATCTAAATACAAACAGTTCCACTGTATTAGTTTTTCTATGGTTCCACTATCGATCTTGAAAACCCACCACATACGTCATATCGTTCACATACTTTGATTACTATACGGTGCAAGAGAGAGGTCCGACACGCCCAACATAGGGCGTGGCCATTTTGATTCCTATGCCACAGTTTATAGCTAAAGAATCAGATCGCTCACTCTGCATCGGCACTTTTGATCTCAATGTTTCAGTTTATACACTGTGCAACTCGGATAATACAATATATGACAACCGCCTATAATAAAACAGCAGTCTTCTGCGTATCCTGAATTTGTATCCCTGGAGTGGATGTTATTTTGGAACTTTCAACTGGTCCGAGTGAGCTAACTGATTCTTTAGCAATAAACTGTGACTTCAAAAATAATATTCACTGACACCCACATACTTTGATTTTCTTTTACTATACGGAGAATGGTCGCACTGCGCAGCTTTCTGAGTGCCTTTTAAAAGGAGGTAGAAAACTACGCCATTTTGAACCCTTATTACGTGTTGCCTACATCTTGGCGCAATATTTTTGATAGGTGCGTTTTAATCATCCGCTTCTGCTTCGGAATTGCCGGTTTTCTTGTTTTAATCTGACAGGTTAAAACGACTATACCGACAATTCCGGAAGCAGAAGCGGATGATTAAAACGCACCTGATATTTTGCTTGCTGCTGTCAGTGTCAGTGAAAATTATTTTTGGAGTCACAGTTTATTGCTAAAGAATCAGTTAGCTCACTCGGACCAGTTGAAAGTTCCAAAATAACATCCACTCCAGGGATACAAATTCAGGATACGCAGAAGACTGCTGTTTTATTATAGGCGGTTGTCATATATTGTATTATCCGAGTTGCACAGTGTATAAACTGAAACATTGAGATCAAAAGTGCCGGCGCAGAGTGAGCGATCTGATTCTTTAGCTGTAAACTGTGTCACAGGGTTCAAAATGGCAGCGCCCTATGTTGGGCGTGTCGGACCTCTCTCTTGCCTCGTATAGTAATCAAAGTATGTGACTGACACTGACAGCAGTAAGCAAAATATCAGGTGCGTTTTAATCATCCGCTTCTGCTTCCGGAATTGTCGGTTTAGTCGTTTTAACCTGTCAAACAAGAAAACTGACAATTCCAAAGCAGAAGCGGATGATTAAAACGCACCTATTAAAAATATTGCGCCAATATGTAGGCAACACGTAATAAGGGATCAAAATTGCGGAGTTTTCTATCTCCTTTTAAAAGGCACTCAGAAAGCTGCGCAGTGCGACCATTCTCCGTATAGTAAAAGAAAATTAAAGTATGTGGCATAGTGTCTATAATTTTTCATTGACAGTTATCATTCTACCCCTCTCCACTTCATTGCTTACGTTTGCGAATTAGGGTAACGATATAATGCTGAACAGGCAAGGAGGTGATGGATTTAATCCGAATTTTGAATTGTGTGAATACTACGGCTGGAACATCGGCCAGGGATCTATTGCAGGGACTTGACTAGATAAACAGTAGCACGGTACATATCTGCGAATCCGCCTTATAGTATGTGTTTATACAATTAATGCAATTTAGATATATAGTTTATTTGAAAATGAATGATAGCACAGTTTTTATAGCAAAGATCTGTATTTTTGCTATCAGTCATTTTCAAATAAACTATAAATATGTAAATAAAGATTTTGCTATCTTAAGAACGTCTTTGATCTCTCATATTAATACGACTGAAAAATGGCTTTTACCAGACGTCTTAGAACATTGAGACCAAACCCAGACAAAAAAAAGAAGTCTCTCAGACATCGTGTGCTATCTGGGTTGTGACCGACCCTGGATCATGTAAAATTATTTAAAAATGATCAATAAAGCCTTAGGTATTGTTGTTAACATTATTTATTTCAGGTTGCGCATATGCTGATGGAAGCATCACAGTCGAACAAGCTGCGCTATTAGGATATGCAAGAGGCTACGCGTCAACAAATACGAAATTAGAACCAGGCCAAATGGCAGCCATAGGTATGTCGAAGGAAGAAGTCAGAAAGTTACTCCCCGAAGATGTGTTCATAGCTTGCCAGAATTCGTCGACTAGCGTTACGATATCTGGCCCGAAAGCCAAAACGCAAGCTTTCGTCGAAGAACTATCATCTAAAGGCATTTTTGCGCGATTAGTCAAATCCGCCGACATCGCTTTCCATACGAAATACATAGCCGAGGCCGGCAAACTCTTGCTGGAGTTTTGCAAAGAGGTTTTAAAGGACCCCAAACCGAGAACGAATAAATGGATATCCACTTCGGTTCAACCGTCCGACCAGCATCACAAATGGGCGCAGTACAACTGCGCCGAGTACCATAACAACAATTTTTGCAATCCAGTACTGTTCGATCAAGTTTACCAATATATACCTGATGATGCTATCGTTATCGAAGTTGCTCCACACGGTTTGCTCCAGGCCATTTTGAAGAGGGAGCTGAAGAAAGACCACACTCATATTATGATAACGAATAGAATGAGCGAGGATAATGAACACTTTTTCTTATCGGCTATTGGAAAGTAAGTTAATATTTAATGTATATACAGTTACTGTTAAACTCCGCGTTACATGGTAGTCAAATTTAAATTTCAGGCAGCAGAATATCAACCTAAGTCCAATGTTTCTTAATGTTTTATTAAAATTATTCCGATCCACTAGGTGAAACTAGAAAGCCCAACAATTACACAGGCCCGAGAAAATTTTGTGATCTAGCCATTTTTTTTACCTATTTACAACTTCTATATAGCTAAAATAACCCCCTTTTTATTTTATCACTTAAACTTTTTTTGTAAACTAGTATCAAGGGCATTATCCCTGAACATCACAAACAAATTAATTAGAATTCCTTATTTTTGTTCAAAATGTTGAGACGCGTTAAAACCTCGTTTTAATTTGCGCATTTGTACGGGGATTTACCAGTACTTACTAGAATATTGTTGGGGATTCCCCGAGACTCGATTTATTCAGGAAATAGGGCGATATGCAGTGTTGCCACTTGTAATATAATTATGGAATTGTAACATAATTTTTCTTTAAAATTAATAAAACTATAATGTGTAACATAATCGATAATTGTAATATATTTTTTTTTGTCTTGGAATTTTTTAACTTCGCAGGTTTTATTCTTATTGCACGAAACCAGAGAAACCAAAATTAAAATTATTTTATTTAATCAGTTCTGACTCTTCTTGGCATTTAATAAAAATCTACATATACAGGGTGGCTCACGCTCAACGGGACGGAGCTTTATGGGAAAACGACCAAAGATATAAAAAATTCGTTTGGGAGGAATACGTAGGTTACAGACGGCTACAATTTAAAATTTGTTAGATGTATACAGGATGTCCCACATAAGAGAAAATATACAAAGTTATATTATTTTTAATGGAACACCCTGTTTTTTATTTTAGAATTAAAAACTACATCAAAAATAATGTCAGTTAACTAAAGGTTCCCTATTACTATTATTATTAGTTTTCGATTTATTTGAATTTTTAAGGAAAAAAAGTCTCCCAGAAATTAATTGTTTACTCTTGTTTGAATAATTTTTAATAAACTAATTTTTTTTTCTTATGTGGGACATCCTGTATACATCTAACAAATTTTGAATTGTAGCCGTCTGTAACCTACGTATTCCTCCCAAACGAATTTTTTATATCTTTGGTCGTTTTCCCATAAAGCTCCGTCCCGTTGAGCGTGAGCCACCCTGTATATTACCGTGCTTAGAAAACGTATCTTGCTTTACGGGTGCTTTCCGGGGAAGGGGGAGGGAGGTCCCTACAACTACACGGGGTTGCCTAGAATTGTAAATCCGGAAAACATTAAACTACTGGTACAAAATTTCCCAAATTCGAGGCTTATCTAATAATTTCATGTTTAAAGAATTGGCAATAGTAATTCCCCATTCAAATGGCGCCTGTAAGAGAATATTGTTAAAGGTCAATTTAATAAAAGCAGATGTTAGAAAAAGACTAGAGTGGTACTGTAAATTCACTATTATTAGCCTCTCAAAGTGCTTCTATTTTATTTTTTATTTGATTTTTTTATGCGATTATAAATAAATAAAAATAAGTATCACGTGTTTTTTCCAAAACAACAAAATAAAGAAAATTGTAACATAATTTTCAAGAAATATCGATAATTTTGGCAGCACTGCACGATAATTTCTTTATAGACTAGTGGCAATACTGGCGATATATTTAGTATCCCCATGGTATTGAGACAGGCGTTGTCTATCGAATTCTATCGGTGTTTCGTTGTACAATTTCTATTAAAAAAATGTCTAGTAGGTCTAGTAGGCCTGATGACTTTTGCTATATTTGTGGACACTTTAAAGTGAAGAAGTTTAAAAGAAACATTACTGATTTCGTAAAAAAATGTATATTTTGCATATTTTAAAGTCAGACTTGGAAATCAAGGTAAACCTTGGACGCCACATGTTTTACGAAGAAGCCTTGAGGCATTGGTTTAAAGGAACAAGAAAAGCCCTACCGTTTGGAATACCAATGGTCTGGAGAGAACCTAAAAATCACATTGACGACTGCTATTTTGTCTTTGTGATATTAAAGGTCATAACAAAAAATCTCTAAAATATATTAACTATCCTAATCTTTCGTCTGCAATAAGACCAGTTCCACATGACGCTCATATACCTGTACCTGTTCCACCTAAAGTATTACAGATACAATCGAATCAGAATCTTCAACAGATTCAGAAATTGACATTTTTGAGCCATCTACCTCAGGAACCCGTGAATCGCAGCTATTTTCTCAAGTAGAACTGAATGACTTAGTCAGGGATTTGGGACTTCCAAAAGACCTCTCTGAGGTTTTAGGATCAAGACTTAAAGAAAAAAATTACTTGCTCAAGGTACTAAATTTTATTGGTACAGAAATCGTGAGGCTGAATTTGTCAATTACTTTGCCGCAGCTGGTTCACTTGTATATTGTCAAAATGTATCTGACTTGGTTATTCACCTAGGTGCAATACAATCCTGCCAAGTGGAGACTTTTTATAGACTCTTCAAAGAGAAGTCTTAAAGCTCTTCTACTTCATAATGGCAATTTATACAGTGCTTCTCAAAAGTCCCCTTCCCCCCTCTTTTCTTTTGAACGGTGGTACTTAGACCTATGAAATTTGGAGGGTAAAAATGAACTATTGTAACTACTATTGTCTACTAGTGGTAACAGGTGACGTAATAGGCATCGGTGACATCACCAGGCAACTGAAACCAATAATATTAAATGGGATGGTGGTGTAGCGGTCTATCGCGCTTATATTCATTTATAGGCAAGTTTATGAGTCTGAGACTGCTGGGTTTCGAATCCCAGACCAGACCATGTGGATTTTTAATTAAATTGCATGGTTCGGTTTAGGATTTGATGTGTGGCGTATTAATAGAAATTAAGTTTCTGTTGATATGACATGCAGATTAAAAAAATTCGCCATACATTACCGTCTCGATGATGGTGGGTGAGGTTTTCCGGGTTTTCCTCACCTGTAAGTCAAATGGCACCATCAATCATCTTTAAGCCCCGGAGCGCCACGGCAAATAATAATAATAATAGCCGTCCCTTCCCCTACACAAGTCGTTCAAGTCGACTTCAGGGGTTGAAATTCACTCGTAAGGGGGTGAATTAGGGATAGTATTATTATTATTATTATTAATATTATTATTATTATTACCTTATGGCAAGTGACATCTCGTTTGAAAGGTATTTAGAATACCTATTCAGTCATACTATTTTTTTTGGATTTACGATGTTTTTTTTAATATTATTGGTTTCAGTTGCCTGGTGCCGTCACCGATGGTGACGTCACCTGTTACCAGTAGTAGATAAGCTTACAATAGTTCATTCCCACCCTCCAAATTTCATCAGTCTAAGTATCACCGTTCAAAAGAAAAGAGGGGGAGGGGACTTTTGAGAAGCACTGTATGCATCTGTTCCTGTTGGTCATTCTACTCAGCTTAAAGAAAATTACGAAAATCTTGAGGTACTGCTTTTAAGAATAAACTACAGACAACATAACTAGATTCTATGTGGTGACCATAAAATTTTAGGGTTGCTTTTAGATCAACAATCCGGATATACGAAATACCCATGTTTCCTATCTGAGTGGGACAATAGAGCAAGAGATGACCACTGAACCAAAAAAACTGGCCACCACCAAGAAAAAATTTAACGCCTGGCTCCAAAAACGTAATTCGGGAAAGCCTAGTTGATCCCGAGAAAATTTTATTACCCCCTCTATATATAAAATTGTGGCTGATGAAACAATTTGTCAAAGCTCTAGACAAAAATGGTGGTTGCTTCAAGTACTTGTGTGAAACATTTCCGGGTCTCTCTGAAGCTAAATTAAAAGAAGGCATCTTTGTTGGGCCACAAATAAGAAGGTTGATGAAAACTAATGAAATTGAGACGGTTATGCAGGAAGACGAAAAAGAAGCATGGACAGCTTTTAAACAAGTTATAAATAAGTTTCTAGGAAACTACAAAGACCCTGAATTTGAAAGTATTGTTGAAAACATGTTGGACAAATTTAGAAAGCTACCCAGCTAGCACAAAAACATCCCATCTACGTTAATAAGCTGCAATTTTAGGCTCTTTAAGCTCGCATGCAATGTACTGTAAATGTAACCCTTATCTCCCTGCAACTACCGAATGTCCGCAACGGCAAGACTTTTATAGCACATCGCACAGAAGTTACAAAGTGAAGTTCGAAAAACATCACACTAGCACTTTTACGGTACTTACCCCGAAAGTTGCTCTGAAACGTTCTATTGATGTTATAATGTGAATTAGATCTACAGCATTATACAGTGTGTCCACGGATGGGCTTAACTATACTTGTGAAAATATTTATTTTAAATTAAAAAAGTAATTCTTCATAATTTCTTGCTTGTTAAATAAATTCGATTCACATTGAGAAATTATGAAAAATAACTTTTTCTTTAATTTAAAATAAATATTTTTACAAGTATAATTAAGTCCATCCGTGGACACACATTGTGTAATGTAATACAGAGAGGCTGAAATTGAGGCTATAGTAAAATCTCAATCGAGACACGAAAATTTCAAATAAAACAAAATATTTATATAAATTTATTATTAAAATGTTCTTGAAATCAAGTACCAATAGCACAAAAGTAGAGGTAGGTGTAGCCGTGTTCTTTTATTCAGTGCTGTATCCAGCGCTTGCAGCAAACCGTTCGTAAATTAAGTGATGGAAAGACGATTGTATGTGTCAATCATTCTTTTTTCCAGCGGTGAGTTCACCAATGAGCCAAGGCATCCATCGGCTTTAAAAGCCGATGGATATGTGATAGACGAATGGTGAGGATAATCAATCATTTAAGTTAACCTAAAATATAAGAGTTCAAATATAAAACGACTGCAGAATAGATAAATTACATTAATCACTGATGGAACAATTATTGAATAAAAGAACATACCTTATATCACAAGTACACATGTGGGATAGAAGCTACCTAGAAAGCACTGAACGATTGGACAAAATT